CCAGCCTCTGCCCGAGCCCTGTCACACTGTCCAGAATGGCCTTGCCTCAGTCCCACCTCAAGTCCGATCAAGCAGCCCTCTGAGACCCCAGCAGGGCAGTGAGCCGGCCTGCAGTAGCCATGCCTTTACCACACCCAGAGCCCAAGCCCAGGCCCCATGCTTCCAGCACCAGCACATTCCAGAAGGGTTAACTTGGTGACCAAGACGCAGTCACTGAAAAAACGAAGGCGATGAACACAAATTAAATAAAAAAACAAGAGGGGGACAGGGGCCACACCACAATGAAAACAGGCCAACCCCCGCTCCTCACCCCCAGAGGTCAAGCCTCGGGCAGAGGTGTCTTCGAGACCACCCAGTGGCCATAGGACTGTGGGATCCATTGCCAGGCTCACTAGAACTCAGGGGAGAGGAGCAGTCGCTCCTGAGGGTCCAGCCCTGTCCACCTTCAGCAGGGAGCTAGAGTGGCCCTGGAGGCGACAGATGTAATTAGCAGACTCCAGCATGGTTGCTCCACTGGGAGGTCCTGTGGGCGTGGTAAAACAGTGTCCCACCCCCACCCCCAAAAGTATTCATCTGGGGACTGGCTCTTTAAATGACATGGCAACACGAGGCTGTCTGCGAAGCTGTTCTCAAGTGCACGCTCTTAGGACCTATACTCCCTCAAACTCTGCTGTCACGCCTGCCGACTCCTAGCGACTGACTTAGGACAGGGAACAAGGGCCCCGTGGGCTTCCATGGGTCCTCCTATTTGGAGGACACAAGACACTGCAGACACTTGTAGTCCTTCGTGAGTTTAAGCCACAGACACTGAGCAGAGGGACAGGCCTGGGAACAGAGGCAGAGAAGATGTCACACAGAGGCCGTCCCCACCCCCAGGGCCCCTCTGGCCACGTCCTGGAGCAAGGCCTGTTTTCCAGTAGGCTGGCTCTTCAGAGGCCCCCTGACATGTCACAATCAGATGTGATGTCAAACCGGCTCTGGGGTGAACTCTGGCCGTCCTGATGAGTCAGGGGAAGGGCTTCCAGGAGAGCCAGCTGTTTACATGCCATGATAGCCGGCGGCCACAGCCATGCCGGAAGCAGTCAGGGGCCACAGGTCACAGTGGCCAGGGCTGTGCCCAATCGCTCACACCCCTATACTCCCACCAAACTCCAGCCTCAGGGACGCTTGCCTCCCATGACACCCAGGGAACTACCACCTCGAGGAAGCCACACCACCCAAACCTACAGGGCCCACCTTCAAACAGGCAAACCTGACCCGCACATCCATCCCCGCCCCATCCCCACCTATGCTGGGTCCACACCTCCTGCCGGCCAGCAGCCACCACCCAGTGACTCAGCCTTCTCCCTCGGTGGGGTGAGCAGGGAGGACAGGAGAGAGCTCCAAAGAGCAGTCGGCATTGCAGGACTCCGTGGCATCCTTGCCCTCAGCTCAGCACCAGCCAACGATGTCCTGTGCACACGGACCCCAGGCACAGGGCCATGCACAACTGCCTCCCATCTCGGAGTCCCCGTGGCTCCCATTCCCTTCCAGCCCCAGGCAGGCAGCACGGGCCCGGCCCCCTGAGCCTCCTCAACCCCAGAGCACCAGGAAGGTCCAGGTGCCCTCTGAGGGCTCCTCAGGGCAGCATCCCCAGCAGAGGGGGCTACAAGAAGCCGCCCTGCTGTGGCCCGACCACCTGGGAAGGTGGCCTGGTGTCTGCACGGTGGGAGAGACATGAGCTAAATGAAGGATTTTTCTGCCAGTGCCTGGGTGACGTTCCCATGCCACCCACCCATCAGCTGCTGAGCAGCCTCCACTGCCCACGTAAGCTCAGGGATGGCTTGTGGGACCCTCCCAACCGCACTCCAGCTCACACTGCCCACCATGCCCCAGCCTGGACCCTCGGCCTCCTTCATAGCTCCTCAACTAGTGCCTCACGGGAAGGGGCCCTTTTCAAATCCTTGTTGATAAGGCTCACTGAGGAGATTCTTCGGGCTGATGGCCGTCTAATCTTGCTGATGACGTCAGCCCGTGACAGGGGCTGGCCAGGTCACCTGCAGGCATACCTTAAGTCTGTAACACAAGCACCTGGGCTCTCTCTGACCCCACAGGTGCCAAGCTGGCCTCCATGCAGGCAAGGGGGCAGCCACTGGGGAAGCTGTAACAGAAAGGGTCTCGAGAGCTGAGGGTCTGAGAGAGGCCAGGGCTGCACACACTCTAACAGGGCCCCCCACAGGCCTGAAGGAAAGAAAGATGTGGAACGCAGGGAGAATTGAATACTGGGCCCCTCACAGCTTTAAGGGAGTTCTGGAATACTGCAAAAGTCTGCTACTGAGCTCTGAAGGATCTGGCGTCAGGGAGAGGGGCTGGGCACCGAGACCCTCGTAGCATAGCCCAAGGGAAGGATCTGAATCAGGTCTGTCACTGGGCTCCCATAGTCTTAAGAAAGATCCAGAAAAAAAAAAAAAGAAAGATCCAGAATCAGACAGCTCAGGCTTCAGCCCAAGGTCTCAGGAAGGCAGGACCAAAATGCACACCCAGGTGGGTATCAAAACCCCAACTAAAACCCAAATCAGTTGTTGAGTCCATTCGGACCCACAGCAACTCTGCCACACAGCTTGTCACTCAGAGAGGAGGAGGCTGCCTGTTGGCCCAACTCCCCTGGAGCCTCGGTGAAGGAGGTCTCCCCCAGGTAGGAGAGGCAGGTGCCACTTCCTGCAGTGTGGTCGGTCAGGGGACACTGTGAGGGGGTGGCATGACATGGTCCTGGAAAGATGGGTGACATCATAACTTCCTCTCCTCTCTCTCCCGGAAGTCACCCTTCTGCATAAGAAAAGGGACTCACCTCCAGGGGAGTAGCTGCCTCAGAACTCAAAAGTATTTACATCAAAGAGAGGCGGGCCAGTCAAAAGCTGGGCAGTGGGAAGCTGGCTGTGTGAGCATGTTCCAACCAGTCCCTGGGTCCGCCCAGGGGCAGCGCTGGCTCCAGACCCCTCTGGAAAGAAAGACAGCAGGGTCTGGGGCAGGGGCTGCTCCAACAGCCCCCTGAGCTACAGAGAAGGCTCTGAAGGACACTCCTTCCTGGTGCCATGACACACCCGAGTTGTGAAAACCTCATCCCAGTTAAAAAACACACAAGAGCCCTCCCCAGGAGCTCCTACAGGCACCCCATAACCACAGGGCCCAGGGCAAAAGCCTCCGGACAGATGGTTGCTGACAGAACATGCGCAAGTCAGGCACTGTCAAGGGCCAATGAGCGGCTCTATTTACACAAACAGTTCTCCAAGTCACCTTCTCAGCCCACCACTCAAAAGCCCTGATCCATGTTCCACCCGCCAAGCTGCCCTTCAGGAAGAAGCAAGCCGCAAACTGCAGAGCAGATTAAACTCTCTGTTGGTTTTGGAGAAAAACAGTGAGTGTGGATCACCCTGAAACATAAGCCCCCTGCCGTGTCTCCCTGAGTGGCCTGGCGCTGGGGACAGCCAGGCCATCTGCAATTACCTTCTCCTTCATGGAGGCAGACCTGGCCCGGCCTGGGGTTTCACCCACACCCAAAATTAAAAATAGCAGCCTGATGGCGAGAGGGACGCCAAGCCGGGCTTTTCCACAACCCCAGGGGCAAGGGTTGGGACTCGAGGGACCGGGTCCCCCATCTGCTGTATTCCCATGATTCACACGGGCTCTCTCCCCCACCTCCTTCTTTCCCAGAGCGATGTCCCCGTCCGACATGGCCTGGATTCTCCCAAGAAGGAGGCGCCTTGCTCAGATCCCCTTCACCTGTGGAGGCCTCGGCCTCCGTTCGGGGAACTCTGTGGACACGGGGAGAACTGGCAAAGGTCACCACTTGACCGACAGCGGGGGAAACTGAGGCACTGAGCTGTGAAGGAAGGTCCGTGGCCCAGAGTGCAACAGGAACCAAAAGGGGAAGAAATTCCCGGCTTGGCTCCCAGTGCCAGGCGAGTCCAGGGCAGGAAGAACGCCACATTCCTTCCTAGTTAGTCTCTCCTCTTGCCCGCACCCCCCCACCCCAACACCTCAGAGACACAAACACACCCTGGCAGCCTGTGCTCCTCAAGTTCGATGCCCCTCGCCCCACCCCACCCCCTTACCACCCTGAAGACCCCGCTGGCTCTGCACCCAGGCAAAGCGTTGTAAACCACTTCCTCCCAGACCAGTCCATCAGACACCTGCCACCCAGGTCCCCGAGGGGAGGGAGGGCGCCATGACACACGCGGAAACGGGAGCGGCAGGTTCTGAGACAGGGACACTGTAGCCACCCCCAACCCCCCAGCCAGCTGGCAGAGCCGAAACACTTCCAACTTCCCTAGCTGGGCCAGAATTGGCTTCTGAGAAGTTCAAAGGTCCGTGGCTACCAGGTGCGGTGGCCAGAGCTTCCGCTCAGGTGCCCACCAGGTGGGGTCCCTCCACACGACCCCACTCACAAGCCCCCAAGGAGACAGGACAAGCAACTCCCAGGGTGTCAGGCCAGACAGCGGGTGTGGGGGCTACCGACGAGCTGTCAGCTCCCCCAAATCCTTCCTCCCAGGAGTTCACAGCGACTTCCACTCGGCCTCACTGACAACCTCCAGGGCGGCCCCCAGGGGAGGCGCAGACTCCCAGCCCACCTGCCCACCCACCAGCTCCGGGATCCGGAGGGCAAGTCCCACTGAGCCCTGACGCCGGGGACCCCCCTCACCCGGCCATAAACCCAGACGGGGAAGCTGCACTCGGGAGGGCGGTCTTCACCGCCTTTTCAGGGACCCAGACGAGAACGCTGCGGGTGCGCCCCCCCACCCCGCCAGGTGCACGGACCTGGCCCTGCCCAGTGCCGGGAAGCCGGGGGGAGGGCCCCGGGCACCCCCCGGATGCGCCCGAGCCGGGTGCGCGAGTCCGGACCCCTCACCGCCCGGGTCTCTCCGCCGGGGCCAGCCCCTCCGTGCCCTGGAAGGCCGCGCCGGCCCCGCGCCCCCAGGCCCGGCCCAGCGTCCCGCGCGTCCCGCCGCCGCGCCGCCGTTCACCTGACTGGAGCGGTAGCTCTCGAAGGCCTTCACGGCGCTGTCGGTGAGCTTCACGTGGAACACGGACACCCGGCTGCCGTCGCCCAGCCGCCCGCACGACAGCCCGTAGCTCCAAGTCTCCTTCAGCGCCGCCATCTTGCGACCATCGCTCCCCCGCCCCCCGTCCGGGATCAGGCGCCACAGCGCGGACACGCCCCGCCCACCGCCCGCTGACGTGCTGCATTATTCATAAGACGTGGAGGGTCACTCCCCTTGCGCGCCCGCGGCCCGGCCGTGACGTAATGCATATTCATGAACACAGTAGGCCCCCGCCTCCCAAGGCCCTCCGCGGCACCTGGACTCCGCCCCGACACACGCACCCTCTCTGAACCAGGCTTTAAATTATTCATGATGCTGACGCCAAGGGCCGCGTGGAGGCCCCGCCCACCTGGCGCTGACGTAATATATTATTTATGAGGTCCGTTCCTCCCTTCCTCATTGACTTCCGTTGAGAGTCGCGGGAGAGGTCTGGAGGGGCGTGGTTTCCACGCCGCACGTGGGGGGCGGGGTCAGAGGCTAGTTCGTAAGTGGGCGTGGTTATGCAAACCTAGCGCGCGTAGGACACTGGGTTTGGTTGTTTGTACTTCCCTTAAGGTGGGCAGGGGGTATTTCCTACCGGGTGCTGTTGTGAGTAACACGGTCCACGTTCGGAGTGCGTTTTGCAATAAACAATATCCTACATGCCCACAGGCCCTGACCGAAGATAGAGTCAGATTTCCTTATATTTTTATAAACAAGCTTGCGTTACGTTCAGCGTAGCCTAAAGTTCGCTTTCTTTATTAAGTGGGTTTTCGTAATTTTAGTGGAGTTTATTGTAGCTTCCTCCCCATGGAGACGCTCTTTCTCCTGCTCGAAAGTCCCCTCCCCCTGGCGGCGGTGACCGGTAAGTGCTGGATACTCCTCTGGGCAGCCCCAGGTTTTGTTTCTACAGATTTCATTCTTGATACGTAAGTGGCATCACACGTGTTATATTTGTCCGTTTATGACTGGCTTCCTTCACTAAATGGCTTTTGTTTGTTCGCTTTTAAGAGCACCTTTATTGAATGACACTATAACATTCACCATTTAAAGCGTTTAATGCAGTGGTATTTATTATATCCGCCAATGTGTGCAACCGTCTCACTGTTCATTCTAAGAGCACTTTTCACCCCGCCTCAAAGGACACTGTACCCACGAAATAACAATTCTCCACTTCCCACTTGCATGCCAATTCTGACCCACGGCGACCTCGTGTTACAGAATACAGGTACTCCATAAGAGCTTCTTGGCTGTCATCTTTGCAGGAACAGATTACCAGGCCTTTCTCCCATGGTATGCCTGGGTGAGTTCAAACTGCCAACCTTTAGATTAGTGACCGCTGCCACCAGTTGATTCTGACTCATGGGACAGGGTAGCACTGCCCCCTTGGGTCTCAAGCCTACTACCTCTTTGCCAGAGTAGAAAGCCTCATCTTTCTCACTAGTACAGAGGGTCCTGCATGGAGTGGTCAGAAAATGTGGAACACAACTCCAAATCATAAATAAAAATTAGAAGAAGAAAAATCAGTCTAGCTGGTCTAATAGAGACGATGGTCCTTAGTTACTTTGTCCCACTTTAGGCTTGGAATTGAACTCACCTTCCGCGGCTCAACTTTCCCCAAGAGAATGGATAGGGAGTGCTGATGAGCAGTAACACCTTAGAACCAGCATCCGTCAGCAATCAAAGAGCAGCAATGCCCAGAGGCAGAGTTGGAAGGTAGCAATGGATTTTTAAAAAAAGGATAGAAATGAGATATACATGGGAAGGAAGTAGGAAAAGTGCTGTCGCATCCTAGGGACTGTTATCGTGGTCATGAGACAAAATACGTATGGATGCATTATTAAATTTGCTCTGTACACACTTACTCAAAGCACCCGCTCGTGCACGCACTCACATGTATATACACACAATTTTCTGGATGGTTGAACTGCTGACCCAAGTCAACACTAGATTCCCTTTTCTGTTCCACTAACAAATGCAAACACAGAATCTCCGTGGGGAGAAGTGGCTCTTGGTGGGGTGGGTGACAGGAATGGGTGGATCTCCTATACGATCTCCTTTAATCCTGACACTGAAAGTCAGCCCGGCTGAGGTTCAGGTTGCCAGTTCAGGGTCAGGTGTGCTGCAGAGGCTCGAATTCCAGCCCAGGGCCAACTCTCTGGGATCCTCCACCCCTGGGCCCAGATCGGCTGATCCTATGGGTGAGTGCTGACACATGCCCTAGACACGCTGACCATCTCACCACTGCCCAACTGTCGATTCAGGAGGCTAGACCAGGTCACTCTTACAGAAGGCAGGAGCTGCACGGCCCAGGAGGGTCATGAGAGGGCAGGAGCCAGGGCTGGCAGGCACAGTAGTCAGAGAGGAAGGGCGGGGTGTGGGCAAACCGGTTGCTGAGTGGAGGAGGAAGTGGGAGGGGCAGCCTGTGGGATTCCCTGCATGACCTTAGGTCTAGTGGCACAGTAGTTAAAGGCGCGGCTGAGAAGCACACGTTGAAAGTTTGAATCCCCCCAGTGCCTCTAAGGGAGAAAGATGTAGCTCGCTGCTTCTGTGAAGTTACGGAAAACTTATGGGCCTGTGGTTCTCAACCTTCCTCATGCTGCGACCCTTACAGTTCCTCCTGTGGTGGTGACCCCCAACCATACAACTATTCTCGTTGCTACTTCATCACGGTCATTTTGCTCCTGTTAGGAATCATCATGTAAATATCTGATAGGCAGGGAGTATTTTCACTGTTACAAATTGAACATCATTAAAGCATAGCGATGAATCACAAAAACAACATGGAATTATATATTGTGAACTATTTATTTCTAATGACAAATGAAATTTTGTCTTGAAGCATAGCGTAGCATGGGTAACAGGTGGGTGTATCTGCATGTGGGCAGACCCGCCTGGAGACGGATAGAGGAGCTGTGTCTTGGTTCCTAAGACCATTGGAAATGTTTTCCGAAGGTCTTAGTTGACCCCTGTGAGAGGGTCGTTCAACCCCAAAGGGGTCGAGACCCACAGGTTGAGAACCACTGCTATGGGCAGAGATCCGCCTGGAGACGGATAGAGGAGCTGTGTCTTGGTTCCTAAGACCATTGGAAATGTTTTCCGAAGGTCTTAGTTGACCCCTGTGAGAGGGTCGTTCAACCCCAAAGGGGTCGAGACCCACAGGTTGAGAACCACTGCTATGGGCAATCTGTTCCGTCCTATATATAAGGGTGCCGGTTTCAGAGGGGTGTAGTGTGTATGTGTTTGACCTTAGGAAAGGTCTTTCAGTCTCTGTGGGTTTCCCTGAGAAATAACAATATCATAGTCCCTGTCAATTGGAATCAACTTGACAACCAACCACTGAATTTTGTTTGTTTGTTTATTTGTTTAATGACAAATGATGTTGATAATCTTTCTGTGTGCATATTGCCATTTGAATATCTTTGGTGAAATGTAGTCTCTGTACCCATTTATTTTATTGGACTTTTGATTGCAGGGGTTACTTATCAATTCTGGACATTAAATCCTTCTAGGCTAGACTTAGCTGGTAGACAACTAGATGGCTAGGGGTGGACAGGTAGGGGAATACATGAATGGATGGACAGATTGGATGGATGGATGGATGGATGGATGGATGGATGGATGGATGGAAAGCTGCAGTTAAAGTGACTCCACTCATGGTGACCCCATATGTAAAACAGAACCAAATGTTGCCTGGTCTGCATCATTTTCACAGCAGGTTTGAGTTCATTGGTGCTCAATTGTGCCAGTTGAGCCCACCAAGAGTCTTCCCTACCCTCACACTGGGCTTTTAGGTCAGCAAACAGGATGTCCTCTTTCAGTGATCCCTAGGGACATGTCCAAAGCCAGCCAGCCAGCCAATGTCCTGTTGCGAGCCTGAAGCTTGGCTGTGAATGATTTTCACAAGGAGATCACCAGGCCTTTCCGCCGGCCTGTCTTATTCTGGAGGCCCTGCTGAGGTCTGAAAGCTGCTCGCTGTGCGTGACCCCGCTGGGATCGGACTCTGGTAGCCTAGCTTCTGGCACCACAGCAAGGCGAGCCACGATGGTCCACAACTAACAGATGGGTTGTGTGATCAGGAATGTGGTCCCCCAAGCTGTTCTCCGGGTCTGGAGGTTGTCTTGTCAATACGTCTTTGGACACAGGGACGTTTTCCTTTGGAAGGAGGTCCAATGTACCTGTGTTGTCTTTCGCTTCTTGTACCTTTAGTGTCACAGGTAAGAATCTACTGTTGAAAACCAGGCCCCAAAGCTTTACTCCGATGTTTTGTTCTAAGAATGTGATGGTTTTTCTTACATTTAGGGTTTTGACCGATGGAGCTCCCTTTCATGTATGGTGTGAGGTAAGGATCCTATTTCATTTTCTGTGTGGGGAGATAGTTATCTCAGCACAATTATTAAAACAGACTATTATTTCTCGGCTGGGTGGACGACCTGGCACCCTTGTCAGAAATCACCTGATCCCAGTCATTAAACAACTTTTTGTAAATAGACACACATGTATAGTGCTTCAAGATGAGGTGTTTGTTTTGTTTTAAAACAAATAACAAATAAACTTACCATTTTAGTGGCTTAAAATAAGACCCGTGTCTTATCTCAAAATTTCCACGGGCCAAAAGTCTGATATATTCTAATGATACGACAGGAGGCTACAGTCAAAGTACCAGGCTGGGCCACAGCCCCAACCCCCAAGCAGCTGCTTCCCCATCTGTGGCCGAGAGCAGGGCATTACACTGATGGGCTTGCGGCACCTGGGTGTGAAAGGGTGTCCCAGCTGAGACATGGTCCTCCCTGGAGCCTGGACAACCCTGTTTCCCCTCCCAGAGGGTACCACAAAGCCCCGGTGTTTGAGAGCCAGGGGGCTGGGCAGTGAAGAGGCATGGCTTTAAGCCATTCTGGCCTCGTGCCCCAGTTCCCCTAAACAGGGTGAGGGCAGCTGGGTACAGACCCAGATTTGAGGCTGCCTGACACATCTTGCTGGACAGAAGGGCCAGTGGCTTCACATCCGGGCTGAGGGGACAGGAGGTGGCTCTCAAGGGTCGTGCAGGGGCCCCCTTTCCTGGGTCAGAATGTTGCAGAAGATGGGCCAGTGTTGGGCCAGCCCAGCTGTGGGCTGCCGCTGGCTTCAGTTCTCGGTGCTCTTGGACCGGTGAGGCTCAATCCTATGTCCCAGGGTCTTAGCACCATGACACTGCTCAAATGCTGGGCTGCCAGCCTGCCACCTGGCCAGCTCCTGGTGGTCAGCATATTCAGCAGCCCCCTGCAGCGAGGCCTTTTCAGAACCGTGTCCCCTCATGGGCCCCGTCATTACCCATCTCCTTCTAGGCTGGGCCCTGCACTTGCAGCCTGTCCTCCGTCCAGTGACGGGCTGAGCCCTGAGGATGACAGGGTAGGAGACAAGAGAGGTGTGGCGGGCACTAGTGTGACCCTCACAAGATCCTGAAGGTCAGTTGCCTGCTTTCCCAGCCTGTTCCCCCTGAACCAGCCATGCCCACCATGCTGACGGAGCCTGGACAGTCCCACGTAGGTAGCCAGAGACGACTCGAGTCAGTGGACTGCAGGTGAGAGGCTTTATTTCACAGAGGGGGGCGGGGGGCCAGGACAGAGGGCAGCAGGCGGGATAGGAAGGGCCGGCACTCAGGGTGGGGATGTGGTGGGGGAAGGGCTGCCCCCAGGCCTGTTGGGAAGGAGAAATAGGAACTGGCTAGTGAAGGCCTGACAGGGGTTAGGGATGGGGGGAGGGGGAGGCGGGCAGGAGCTGGGCATGGGGATGAGGGCCCCTCCCTCTGAGCTGGACTTGGGCTCGGCCCCTCCTGGCTCCCCTCCAAGAGCCTCGAGCTTGCTGGGCCGTGTGGCCCTCAAATCTGACTGCCCCAAGCGGGGGGAGGGGCTGGGTCAGGAAGGGCAGTGGATGGGGCCAAGGGAGTTGGGAGGCGTAGGGTGGGGTCCACGGTGCATGGGGGTGGCAGCCACCTGAATGTTCAGTTCCTGGCAGCAATGACGACGGAGAGGGCTACACCCCCCAGGGCAACGGCAGTTGCTCCAAACAGCCACTTCCACGGGATGGACTAGGGATAAAGGTGGGGGGAGGGGGATTGGAGGGGGGTTGAGGGAGCTGTTAAGGGAGGGCTGTCGGGCGGCCAAGGGTCACCAGCTTCTGGGACCTCAGCTCCCGACCCAGCTCATTTAAGCCTTCCAGCAACCCCCTGCCTACCCATGCCTTTCCTGGCTCCTTATAAACTCCTACTCATGCGTCAAAGCCTAAACCAAATGTCCCCTTCTCCAAGACACTGTGCCTCTCCCCAGCCCTCTCGCTCTGGAGTCCCTCTGCTACTCAGTCCTGGTCACACAAGGGCCCTCTGACCCAGCACCAACCAGCCAGCATGGCCGAGGAGGACATCAATGGAGCCCAAGCCCTGAGCTAGCTTCCATGTCCAGCCCAGGCTGTGCCCTCTGCCTGGTGCGCCTTCCCAAGCCCCAGCCCCATCCCCTCCAGAGTCCACTGTCCGAAGCTCACCCAGGCACCCTTCCCGGGACACTTGGCAGGCAGCTGGCTGGGGTTACCCAGCATCTTCCGGTACAGAGCAGTCTCCGTGTTCCGCTGTGCCGCGTGCTTCTTCACCAACTTGGAGAGCTCTGCGTGGATCGTCTGTGGGGGTGGCGGGGGTGAGTGGGGCCCCCACTCCACTGTCTGCACACGGACTGCCTTTGTGGAGGTCCAGTCACTTGGGGGCTGGAGGGTCTCAGGGCCAGGCTCTACCCATCAGGCCAGGAGGAGGGGAGGGAGACCGAGGGCACAGATAGCAACCATGCCAGGGGCACGCCGCTTGGCCTGCGGGCACTCAGGAGGGTGGGCCCATTCAGGAGTCAGGTGGGTCCCAGCAGGCTGGCTGTGGGCCATCAGTCACCCAATGCCCCGTTGGCAAAACCTGAGATGCCCACAGAAACTACCAGACTTCCCAGAATGCCTCACCTTGTTGGAAGGTTCTAGCTTCAGGGCCGCCCGCAGGATGGGGATGGCCTCACTGTACTCTCCTTGCTGGGCCAGCACCTGGGGGAGGGGGACACATCCTCAGGACCCTGCTTCCACCCCCACGGGTCTGTCACAGCCTGGGCCACAGTTCCTCAGCTGGCCAGTGGCTTGTCCTTGGCTCCCAAAGCCAGGCGGACCTTCCCAAAGCCACGACCATGGTGACTAGTTCGGCGCCCAGCGTGTGAACCAGGTCATGCGATGAGGATTTGGCCCTGCACTCAGCTGGTGCCACGGGGTGGGGGGCAGCCACTAACCAAGGATGATGGCGGCAGCAGCTTGAATCACCTGTGAGGAAGGGACCTCTTGGCCACCCTGAGAGAGATGCTTGCTGGAGAGGAGTTGATGAGGGAGACACAGCGCCCGCATTATGTGAATGCCTGGATGCAGCCGTGCCTGAAGCCCCAAACCCCAGACTTGGTACTTTTCGTAAGCAATCTCTCTGTTGCATTTGCCCGAACTGTGTGAGTGGGCTTCTGTCACCTCTGGCCAACTGACCCACATGCGTACGAGGTAACATGCACAGATATTCCCCAGTGCCCTCCCTTGGCACGAGAATACCGTCTCCGAGCTCAAAAGGAACATCTTGGTCTTCTCCGTGTCTCTGCAGAGCCCTGCATGCAGCGGGCTAGCGGGAGCCCCTGCTCAGGCCACTCAGAACCACAGCTGCCACTCTCCCGTCTGCACCTCCATTTCCTGTTCCTGCCAGCCCCTCATCCAGAGGAGAGCTGCGTGGCAGACCCAGTTGCAGCAGTGAGGGGGCACGCGCAACCCCGCCGGCCACGGGGTCAAACATGACTCCTGACCTGAGGAGGCGACATCCATGCAAAGACCAAAAGAGGCCGGGGAGGACAGGAGGACACTGCACAGGCACAGGAGGGGACTGTCCCAGGTGGAGTGGTGCTCGGCCACGTAAAGGCCCGGTGTGCGTGTGCGTGTGCGTGCATGTTGAGCCAGGGAGGATAGGATGACACCCGAGGGAGGTGAGAGTCATGGAGGGTCCTAGGTCTGAGCAAGTTGGGAGAGCCAAAGAGCCCCAAGAATCGAGTTTGAGTGGCTTCTCCCACATTATTGTGCACCAGGCCACACCCTGCGGGGCCCGCCTGCGCTCCCGGGTGCCCCTGGCACCCACCTTGCCCTTGCGGAAGAGCGCCTTGATGTTGTCGGGCTGGTGCTCGAGCACAAGGCTGCAGGAGCGCAGCGCGGCGCGGTAGTGGTCCAGCTTCAGCTGCGAGGCCGCCAGGTTGTTCAGACACTTCACCTTCAGCTGCAGCAGCTGCTCCTCCTCCTCAAACGTCATGTCCACTGTGGGCGGGCGGGCAGGCAGGCAGCTGGGTGTCACCGCCACGTGTCGGCTCCGCGCCCCCCCTCACTCTGACCCAGCTGCCCGGGGGTTCCTGTAAGAGCTAGTGGGGGACTCCAGGCAAGGGAGGATGCATGGACCCAGGACCCAGTTAACATGCGGCCTGAGCTGCCCTTCCTCAGACTACGGAGAGGGCTCGACAAAAGGGACCCTTGGGGTAGGTGCATGGGTGCCAAGTGGGGTGCCTCCTGCCTGGTGACGCTTGCACTGGGGGGTCCCACTTGCACTGGGGGGGGATCCCACTGGTCTGGGCTGCATCGCAAGCCTGGAACAGACTTGAACCTGAAGGCCCGGGGCTGCTCGGCATCTGACCTCTGCACAGTCTGGAACAGGCTAGAACAGAGCTCGGCAAGCAGACTGCGGCTCTTCTGGCGCCTGCATGTGGCTCTCAGTAAAACTGAAAACGCTGTAAGGTTATTATGCAAAGAATGGTGATGTGAATTGTTTGTGAAAATATGATTTATGGCTCTCGGGTGATTTTCAAGTTCTTGTGATGGATTGGCTCTTTTGTCTCAAAAGTGTGCCGGCCCCTGGTCTAGAACATTCCAAGTCCCTGGTGGGCTGCGGCTGGTTCCCGAGGCCCCAACAGTGGACCCAGTGGCAGCGGCAGGGGATGCGATCTCACGCAGCCCCGGGGCGGGTGGACGGCGGAGCGGGCACCTTTGGCGCTGGAGGTGATGGCCTTGATGGCTAGGTCGTAGGAGTTGGCAGCCAGCACAAAGTCGGCCCGCTGGTAGTGGGCGTTGCCGCACTCGCGCTTCCGGTTGGCCAGGGCCACCCGCTCCTGCCCTGAGAGCATCTCCAGGTCGGGCCCATCCTCAGCTGTCTGCAGGGTCACCTCCAGGCACAGCGCTGCGTGCGGGGGGATGTAGGGGCTCCTGCTGGGGGGCGTGGAGCAGGGGTGGCACTCAGCCTTGGCGTCCCCTCTTCCCCCCACACCCCTGGCCCAAGAGAAGTGGACTCAAGGCCTGATGTGCAGCCTCTGAGCCCTCCCTGGTAGCGGATGAGGAAACGACTCCCAAGCCCCACAGTGTTCTGGTTCCCTCCTTGAACTGTTTGCCCGGTTCATCCAGGCAGGTGGATTGGGGGGGCGAGGAAGGTGTCTCACCTGCCCTGGGGGCCATAGCAGTACTTGGAGTCAGCGGTGACCATGGCGGTCTCCCCCACCTCCATGAGCGGGACACTGAGGTCCAGAGCCTGGGAGCAGGAGAACAGAGGGTCAGAGGAGCCCGGGCTGGGCCCAGTGGCCCCTGGCCCGCCCCGACACCCACCTGAATGACGTCGCAGTCGCCCAGGGTGAACACCAGCTCTGGCTCCTCCTGGACCCTGGTGCCGTTCTCCAGAGACGTCTGCAGCCGCACGGTTACCACCTGGCCCTTGGCTGGGCGGCTCGAGCCAGGCGGGCCTGGAACAAGCGTCTTCTTCCTCAACTGCCCGTTCCCTGCGGGGCGGGAGTACAGCCTGTCACCACCAGAGGCTGGGAAGGAGAACTCACTGTGTCGAATGACTGCTCTGTGCCATCAACTGGGCAGGGCCTCGCTGTCCCAGGCTGGACATTGGGCCAATGACAGGTGCTGGTACGGAGAACTGCCAGCTTCGTTTGAGAAAACCGAAGGTCTACCGGCATCAGGGCTGAGAAATGGCTCCCACCCAGCACCACCAGGACTCAGTTTACCTAAACGGGAAATGGGGTCCTTTGCGGGGCTTCCTTGCGCATTTGTCTCTCACACAGCTCTGGGTGCGAGTTAGAACCCCACTCGTCCGCCGCCTCTGATGACCCCCAAGAAAGCCACAGCGGAGAGTGCCACTCCTTGTCCCCACCAGACCAGTCTGTACCAGCTCGTGGGGCCTGTCTGCCAGGGTGGGAGTGTGCACCACCGGAGGGTTCGCGAGGTTGGCTTTCTCAGAACCAGGAACAGGCCTCTCTTCAGCGGAGTCGCTGGGTGGCCACCAAGCTGCTAGCTGGCAGCCAAGAGGATGAACTCCCCAGGCCTCCACTGCGAGCTGCTGCCAGT